ATCCCTTTGGTCAGTTGGGGTCAGCTGTCCCAGCTGTGTCCCCTCCCAGCTTCTGGTGCGCTCCCAGCCTACCACTGGTGGGGTGGGGTGAGGGGCAGAAAAGGCTTTGACTCTGTGTAACCATTGCTCAACAGTATCTAAAACATCCGTGTTATCAGCACTGTTTTTGGCACATATCCAAAATGTAGCCCCATACTAGCTACTATGGAGAAAATTAACTCTATCTGAGTCAAAACCAGTACAATAAAAATGAACAAAATGGAATTTTTGTTTGGAATTTTTCTTTAAAAATTGTAATTCTCTAATTTTTGAAGTATGTAATTAATACCAAATATAGCAAACCTACACACCACAGAACGCTTTTCGTCCTGTGGAGCTCTGATTTATTTCCTCAGCCTCTATAAAGAGGTTGGATAAAACACTCCCCAGTTCCTCCAGCTCTCAGATTTTTTCCTGTTCTCTTCTAACTGTTTTCTAATCAGCTGTAAAGATTTTTTTGATTACTATTTTGAGTTGGACACTTTTCTGCAGTTTTCTATGGAAAGCCTAAGTATCTAAATTCAGATTTCTGATTTGATTCTGAGGACCACTTGTCCACAGTGTCTTGGAGACACTGTTCAGTTTGGAGCCACTATAATCTTTCCCTTGCTCTAGCCTTCAGCTTATGCTGAACTTTGCATAAGAGAAGTAGATGGCTTAAAACATGCACCTAAATTTGAAGGATTGAAGTTCAAATTATTAACAGAATACTTCTTTAAATCACTGTATTTGGGAATTATGTAGAAAATGTGTATGTGTAAATAAGCTGGTTCAAAAATCTAATTAAAAATACCTTAAAATAGAAAAAGACCATTCCTTCTTAGTCCAATGTAAAATGAGATGGGAATACAACTTTCCATCACAGTTGAGAGTATGTAGCATCGAATGCAATTTAGCATACACTGCAAGGAATGTGATCTTGAAGAAATTAGTGAAGCACATAAGTAATAAAGAAGACTAGTTTATACCTTCAGTAGAGTTTCTGTAATATCTGATTAGCAAGGCTACAGGTGGAAGTGTCTGTGCACACATATATACAAAAATATGTACTTGCAAATGTATAGTCCCTCTATGCGCGCTTTAACATAATATTTTTTTTTTCAAAACAATAACTAGTGGTTGTTATCTTTAAAGAAACAAATGAGTCTCCTTCACTAAACAATATATGGAAGTGTAATACACTCATAGAATCAGAATCATATAATGGTTTCAGTTGGAAAAGACCTTCAAGATCATTGAGTCCAACCATCTGTTGAGCTGTAGAAAGTCTGCTACTAGTCCATGTCCCTAAGCATGACATCTACTCATCTTTTAAACACCTCCAGGGATGGTGAATCAACCACCTCCCTAGACAGCCTGTTCCAGTGCTTGACAACCCTTACAGTAAAGAAATTTTTCCTATTATCCAACCTAAATCTCCCCTGGTGCAACTTGAGGCCGTTTCCCTTTGTCCACTCACTAGCTACCAGGGAGAAGAGATCGACCCCCACCTCGCTACAACCCCCTTTCAGGTAGTTGTAGCGAGTGATAAGGTCTCCTCTCAGCCTCCTTTTCTCCAGACTAAACAACCTCAGCTCCTTCCTCATAAGACTTGTGCTCTAAACACTTCACAAGCTTTGTTGCCTTTGTCTGGACACACTAAAAGATTAATGAGCTGCTGAGGAGCTCCCTTCTGTTCTATCCAGCATATGTGTAGCTGCCACATCAGGGAACAGCAGCTCACATATTTTCAGATATAGTAAATAGCTCTCAGGCTTTTCAAATAAAGTTGTACTCTACCTTGTATGCAGGCCAGGGCCTATATATTGAATAAATCATCAGAAGTGTATTTCAGTTCTTTTAAAGAGGGCACGGCAGTACCCTCTATTTTTTATTGATTGCATTTGCAGAGGAAAATTGAATCCATTCCTTGTCAAGGCCCTTAAACCTGATGTCATAAAGAAGAGGGAAAAAGGAAGAGATAGATGGAGTTCAGTGGAATTAACCAGAAAGAATGATGTTTCCTATTGTGTGATGATAAATTTTAGTTTTTCATCTTGCCCATATCAAGTGAAAGGTAGCAGCTGAAGCACTTTGAAGTAGTAATCTTCAAAGACTTCTTTTAGCAGAATTGCAAATAAGCTTACTGAAAAGTTGTCTCCAACTAGATTTTCTGCCAATTATCAGTCAGAAGCTCTTTGCTGTATGGAATTTAACTCAAAAAGAAAGGTGAGTATTTCTAGGATATAGAGCATCTCAGTAGGTGTGCCAATAACACCTATGAACATTTTATTTTAGTAAAATGCATTTTTTTAATAACAGGAAAAAATTTAAAAATTCTCACTATATTCACGAGGTAGCTAGAAGTCCATGTCTGAGAAGGAAAGTGATACATGTTGAAGTTACATGTGTGTGCTGTTAAAATATATTTCTGAAATGAGACTCGGGCACTTAAATATGAAATTCTGGAAGCAGGAAGATGTTTTTCAGTACCTGAGAACAGATAGGTTACATACTGTTAGTAGCCTTTTCCTAGATTTATTTTATTTTACTCCTGTTAGGATGCTCTGTTCTTGTTGCTCCGCTTGAATTCCACATTATTTAGTTTTTTAACTCCGACTTCATGTGTTGGGTTCTTTGGTTTTTGGTTTTTTCCCCCCTTTGCTGCAAGTTCTTGGATTTTTTTTTTAGGGTGTTGCATCTGTCTCTGGGAGAACATTGTTGAGGAGGAGAAGGAAGGGAAAAGTGGGACATAAATAACATCATAAAACTCCTGACTCTGACTATAAAGTATCACTTCTTCACAAATATTACAAAGAAGATGTAGTAAGCTATAGGTCTTGCATTATAGCCTAATCTCAACAAGTCTAATAAAATACTGAAATTTTTACTTCCAATATGTCCATTTGGTACTTAATTATTTTACTATTTACTATTTCTAAATTGTCTTCTTAGTTTCTCTTTTTTTTTTTCTGTATGCATGTACTTTAGATATATATTTATATGACTGTGTATGTACAGGAGTGTGTGGAAACATATAGCTATATATATATATATAAAAATCTGTGATACATTTTTGGATGATGTTACATAGATACTGTTTGCAACAGTATTTGTGAATGAATGGTAATATGTCTAATATATATTTATTTATATAGTTCATTCATTTGTAATAATACTTTATTAGAAGTATTGTATCACATTTCATATATGAATAGGTTTTTTTTTTTGTGAAGTGCATGGTTGTGAATTTAGAAAAGCATTTATGAATATGATTAACTTAAAAGTGTGTTTTTCCTGATTAAATGTTTTGCTGAATAGGGATCTCAGTGGCCTGACCAGGGTGGTAGTCACTGACAGATTTGGGAGTAGAGGCTGCAGCAATTTCTAAGTCAGATCACGAGGTGAAAGAAATGCATTGGTTTATATCGTTATGGGGCGTAGGAATTCATAAAGGACTCTGAAACCTAAATGCTTTGCAAGAAGGTATGAATTATTGTCTCCTCTGTGCCTTAAGTAAATGCATCCTAAGCTCCAGTGTCCTAGATGCCACCAGGAACCATTGGCATAGGCTTCCACTGGGCCAAGTACTTGGTACATATGATGAGGAAACAGTAGCATGAAAAAAATAAAAATTCAAGCATGTAAAGAAGTTCTTGTGTAAGTAGAGGGCAAAGCTTCTAATGGCTTCATGGAGCCAGTTCTAGAAATAAGTTCTGAAACAAAGTCAAGTTTGGAAAGTCTGTACATAATGCTTAATTACACAGTACGTCAAACTGGATCTAAAGGAAATATTTGAACAGTAACCATTTAAAAATTATAATTAGCTTCTCATGGTGCCTCAGGGACTTATTTCTGTTTCTCAAGTAAATGTATCTATATATATATATTTATAATTATCTACTTGACAAAGAGACAGGTATGTAGTATGAGTTTATTACTTACAGGGAATCTCGAGAGCTGGAAATGTAATTTGATATTTTTATAAAATACTGTATCTTGAGAGAGTAATATTATATTAAACCTACTTTGAAAAATACCAGATAAACCTTTCTGCAAAACACATGGTGTAGCAATTTAAGCTTTAAAAACAAGCCTATACAATTTAATGTTGTGAACTCATTTCTCTAGTACCTGATAACAACCTCACTTTGGCAATAGGCTGTCAAATGTTAACTTTCAACCTGTTCTTATTTTTATTGTTTGGGGGTTTTTTTTAACGGTAGCAGAGGGCTAGAATTCAGACCTACTTACCAAATTTTGTACTGTGATCCCACTCAGGTGCCTTAAACGTGAACTGGTTTTATTTCAAGTTGACTTGCCCATTTGCAAAAGAAGTTGAGTTTTCTTTCCTGGGTGTAATTCCATAGTGTAAGCAGTATCTGTGTTACAGTGTTGACTTCTGTAGGATTTATACCTATGTCTTTAGCTGTTTTCAGGTTTTTCTTCCCTCTAGTTGCCTTTCCACTCTTGAAATGGTAATCTCAGTGTTTCAGTTTTAGAAACACTACTTGCAATGCCATTAAGCAGCACAAAAGAATAAGTGACCAACCTTACTGAACTGAACCAACTCATAAATATTAAAGTTCACACTACTGATCTTTCTGTAAGTGATCACACCTATGAACATAAAGATCTTTTTAGCAAGCAATGAGTGCTATAGTGCATGTAATTAGTAGAAACATCAACCTCATATACTTGCATTTATTTTTCTATAACTAGGAAGTGCAATTAGAGTGGCATCTCACAAACAAAATACGACCAAGAGTCGTTAGATACCAGTAATGAAATGGGAAGAAGAGAACATGAGGAACTTAAGGAAAATTTCCAAGGAAGAGGGGTGTCTTTCTTTGAATTTATTTTGTTGATGAGTTAAATAAAATGTTATTACTTCCTGCAATAGTTCAGTTTCCTTTCTGTAGTCATTGCTGCTTGTGTTAGGATGTAAGTTTGTAATACCAAATATGTTTTTTCTTTGACAGCAACAATAGTGTTAAATGAACTCAACTGGACTGCAGCATTGGATGATGTATTCAAGCGGAACAGAGAAGAAGACCCCACTTTACTATGGCAGGTCTTTGGTAGTGCAACTGGCCTTGCTAGGTATTACCCAGGTAACTGAAGTCTCCTATTTTTTCTCCTGAAGAACTGTCCTAGTCACATATTGCCTTAAAAATATTCTGAAGTATTTACAAGCAATACAAGATAACTAAAGATTACTTTCTTAAATACATGGACTTTCTGTGTATCAGAATGTAACTCAAGGACTGTGGAATTATTTTGGCATAAAACTAGTATTAAGGCAAAGAAACTAGGGGTGAAATATGTAACTAGTTTTTTTTACAATAAGAACAGAAGATGATGTCCTTTGAAAAGCTGAACAGTTAAATTTTATTTTTCTGTTGTCTCCTATGTGTTTTGTGAAGAATCCATTGAATATTTGCCTGTGAGAGTTTTTACTTTTCTAGTTTTAAAAATAGTGACTCAGTGACTAGACAGTCTTATGGCTAAAGTGTGGAAAAATAGGACTACACCATGATATGTTCATGTCCTGCAGAATTCACAATCTCTGACAATTAAGTCTTTGCTATTAGAGCTGAGGGCAATGAATACAACTTGATTATTTCAATCAGCATCTGTTCCACTTCTTGAAGAATCCCATTACTGGACCGCAGTAATTAATCTAAATAGATGTATATTTTACTGAATTTAGATCAGTAGCCTAAATTTGATTTTTGATGTATCCTACCGAATGGAAAGGCTTGTTTTACACCAAAGCATACTGCCTGTGCACTGCTGTTTGTGTTAAGTGATGCTGGCATCTATGACAAAATAATGTGTCCACTGCACAAAGGACAACTGTGGGCAGTGTTTTGTCTCTTGGCTACAGCCGGTCAAGGAAGAACTTTGAGATCCTTTCTCTTCTGTTTATACAAGACTGTTGGTGTTTCTGAGGGTGAGGGGAATTTTTCTAAAGCTGCTACTGTATCATTAGCACAATTGCTAGCACAGGCAGAGAAACTGCCTCAGGCTAGTTTACAGGAAGAAATATTTCATGGCACTTGAATGTTTGTTTTGTCATGCTAGGTGCTGATGAAATAAACACAGTGAGATGCTGCAGAAAAAAAATATTTAAAATGCTAATTTACTATTTATTTTATTTTCAAGTGTTCTGTTTCAGTACTTTTGGGATTTATTAGTACTGTGCTTGGGGTCACCATTTGTCATGGCTTACTATAGAAAGACGTTTTCCAAATGCTGAAAATGAAGCATTTCTTAAATACAACTCCATGGCAATCTCTAGGAATTTCATTTTCAAGTGTAGAATTATCTTGTATACTGAAAAGTATATTCTTATGTCTAGCTAACCTGTCTACCCTAGTTGTTTGACAACACAACAGGAGGCGCAGAATCTCTATGAATACTAAATTAGATCACCTCTCTAAAATGGAAGTAGCTTGTTTTCCCTATTTTCAGGTGTATATATTGCTTGTATATACTCCTAAACACAAATTTATATTTAGTATAAAACTCAAGATACTCATACCTCTTGCTTACATAGCTTAGTTCCTAAGCCCTTATTAGCTGTTTAGTCCTGTCAGACCTTGACTTCAAAAATTCCTGGGTAGTTCCCCAGTTCTTAAATCTTAGACACACACAGAGTAACCTGGAGCAGTCTGACAGTGTTTAAGTTGTATGCATCTGCTTCTTCCCACTCCCTTCCATTTATAGCTCAAATTAATGAGACCTTTAGGGTTTAGATTTTTAGAATAGGTCTTTGTACAAGTTTGTCCATCTTCCTCTTTTTGTCAACTCTGTCTCTTGCAGAGACCTATCTGACACACACAAATGTTCTGAAAATGAAATCAAGTTTCATATACCGGAATGGATGCTTTTCACTCCTTTCAGGTGGTTGTAGAGAGCAATAAGGTCTCCCCTCAGCCTCCTTTTCCTCAGACTAAACAACCCCAAGTCCCTCAGCCACTCCTCATAAGAGTTATTCTCAAGGCTCTTCACCAGCTTTGTAGACCTTCTTTGGACCTTCTCCAGCACCTCAATGTCTTTCTTATACTGTGATACCCCCAGTTGAACACAGTACCCAAGGTGTGGGCTCATCAGTGCCGAATACAGTGAGACAATTACTTCTCTAGTCCTGCTGGCTAGACTATTCCTGATGCAGGTCAGGATGCCATTGGCCTTCTTGGTCACCTGGGCACACTGCTGGCTCATGTTCAGCTGACTGTTAATCAGCACCCCCAGGTCCCTTTCTGCCAGGCAGCTCTCCAGTCACTCTTCATCAAGCCTGGATCGTTTCATGGGGCTGTTGTGACAAATGATATTATAAATTCTAAAGTATTGCTTTGTTATATTTGCCTTAGGTAAGCCTACTTCAAAGTGATGTATTTCTCCATAGTGATGATATTTGTAAAAGAATTTGGAAGTAACAAATACCAAAATTAAAATGTGTAGATAATTCTGCTCATTATTAGCTGAAATATATCCATTCAGTCTTTCCTCCCTTAAAAAGAATCGATCTTTGATATCTCTAAGCTATTAAGAATGTCTTCAATCACAGGTTTCTTGAACTAATGTTTTTATCTGATAGCATCCAACTACCTTGAGTAATGGACTAGACCATATATCACTTAAGTCCTAAGTAGGCTCTTAGGCTGTCCTTGTCACCATAGTAACCAGCACCATGAAAGGATCTTTCTATGCACAACTCTGTGTGTGAAAAGTATGTGTCTTGTTCAAGAGGACAAGACAGCTTTCTTCTGGCTATGACTCAGGTTAAGAGACATGGCATTTAGACCAGTTCCTTTCCTCAGACCTTTTACATTATACGCTGTTATAAACGGTATTAGGCTTAGAGACAATAATAATTAGATACAGTAGAATAAGAATAGGAAACTATTTTATGAAAATAGCTAACAGCATCATGTAGAGGAAGTAATGGTACAAAAATATTTGCTTCCTTTAATGTTATGATGTAATTAGCACATCAAATATTCCTCATGCAATACATCATTTTTACTGAGGAGAAAAACACATTCTATGTGGTGTTACTTTTTGTTTTGAAGAAGAATAAAATATGTAGTCCGGGCAAGAAAGATTTAGGAAGATATTTGTGTAGTTGGATAGATGCAAATGTGCAAGAAAGCTAAGTATTAGAAATATATTCATAAACACATATACATGTTGGTCTTTGCAGTGATGGTAGAACCGCTGCCAGCCATAAAAGGGAACTGCACAGCACCTTCCTCTGCTTTAACTTACAAGATGTCTCAAAAGAAACATTAGAGATTGCACTGAGACCAGCTTCTCTCTTTATAATGTATTACTTCATTTTGTTTATTAACTATTTTTCTGTATAATATACTCAGTTCAGCTCTCATTCTTAAACAGGACAAAAATGGCAGAAAAGGATGGCCAAAGAATGGAGGATACCTCCATGGGCCTCTTTCAGTTAGGATTTTAATCAGCTGGATTTAAAGAGTCAGTGTGAGTTTCCTCATACTGAACTTTTTCTTCTTAAATTATTTAAGTAAGTATGTCTTGCCTAAAATAGTTTTAAACATTAGTGAGTGTACATAGTATCAACATTTTCATTAGCTTCAATGGCAGTGTATTTGTGAACAGAAATAGGAAAGAAGTGCTGGCAACCATCCATTTTGATATGAAGATGCCAAGAGCAATTCTGAGATTTCTATTACCTATTTTATGAGCTTTGTACAACTCAAGAGTAAGTAAACAGGAATTTAATAAAAAAGCTAAGAAGAATAAACAAATAAAGTGAACAGAGTTTTAGCAAGGACGTGATATATACTCACAGTTACCTTTAAAGTTATGTATCACAAATTAGTCTTTCTTTCAAGAGATAGTTTCAGCATTGTAAGAATGCATATTTTTTTTACCTACATTTATGGAGTTGCATAAGAATCAAGACAGACATCTCTGTCTTCAGGTGATGAAGATACCTGATAAAATTCTTAATATAAAAGAGAAGTATACAAGAGGTGGAAGCAAGAACAGATGATATTTCCTTTTTACTCTGTGTTTTCCTCCACTTCCAAATGAAAACTTGGGAAAAAATAACATAGAAATCTTAATACTCTCATTTAGAACAACAGAAACAGCATCATGTGTAATTGTTTTCATAAAATTTCTAATTGTGTTTGTAGCATCTGTCCATGTAGAGAATATCAAGGAGTGCCAGCGCTGCTGGGCCAGTATGGAAGTGTACAACTGATGGATTAGCCATGGTAAAGGTACTCATCCACATGGAGGAAGCTTTTTGACTTACTTCCAATCTTACTCCATTATGTAGAACTAGTGTCAGTTCAGAAGTAACAGTGTACTCAGAGCTTGTTTTAGGAAATAGGGTGTTATCATTCACATCACCATTTTGTGGTTCTGCAGTTCTGTGACTTCTGTATTTCTTTCCTTTTTTTTTTCAACATAAATACTAATGTGTGGAAAAGACAAGGTGAAAAAAGTTGGACATATTGAGACCTCCTGGTGCACACAGTACTTGTGCTGGGGTCAGCTTCACATGTCAGCCCGGCAAGTGCATATTGACAAGGCAGCTCTGAGATCAGGCCAGGAAGTCCCCGTGTCAGGGTCAGGATCAGCGAAGTACAACATCGTGCACAGATGTCCACGCGATGTAGTCAGGCTTGAGCTTAAATGAAGTTCCCAAGCCAACAGGCTCCCAAGAGGTTTCTTGCAGCTTTTTGTCTCTCCCATCTTCCCACATCAGTCTGCTCCCAGGTTTCGTGTCTGCATCATGTAAATGTGGGCTTGAACACAGGCATCAGTTGCTTATGAGGCTTCAGAGCCTGCTGGTGCATACAGAGCCCTTCATTTTCAAGGAACAAACTGATTTTATCTGAAGAAACAAGTATATTTGTGTGAGACTACAATTTATTCCATATTTTCTTCTACTTTCACTTTATAATTTCCCTCTTGCTCAAAGGAGAAATAATGTTTGCTGACACAAAGTAGAACCAGACAACTTCCTTCTGCTCAGAAACTAAATTGCCTTTGTTGGCTTATTGATTAAAGATGAAAAGAAGACTCCATATGTTTTCTGTCCATGTTCATCCATCAGTGC